CATATTGGGAGAAATCGGAAGTGCAGAGGAGTTGTGTGCGCTGTGTGAACATGATGCTACTGTAGTTCTAGACTAAATGTGAATGTGCATTAATTTATCCCACTCACAAAAAAACAGATTTAGTATTAATCAAAATGAATTAAAACTCAGAATATGACGCAAACCTGCAATAATTAAATATGTTAAATAACACAAATGTATCTAATCCCATTTTATTAACTGATGTCTTTGCTGCTGACCTTTGATGATCCAGTTCAACCATACTAATAAGCAAAAATGACTTTAGATAAACTAACAGTTGTGCTTCGTTTTTTTATTGCTGAAGAGGGTTTCTTCTCCTGCGTTCTACTGTACAGACGTGAATTTACTTTTGCTTCAGCCTGAGGTTTATTCATTACACTTTTTGGTGTGAAAGGGCTTTTATATTTGCTATAAATAGAACTTCTTATAGTAAAAACAATCAAGCCCTGCTTATTTTAAAAAAGTAACGTGAAAGTAACGCAAAAGTAATATAACGCATTACTTTCCATAAAAAGTAACTAAGTAACATAATTAGTTACTTTTTTAGGGAGTAACGCAATATGGTAATGCATTACTTTTAAAAGTAACTTTCCCCAACACTGATTGGGAATAAACCGCTTTAAAGCACCGGGACTGTGATTTATCTATTTCATGCAACAGCTGTACCTAAAAATGTTAATGTCACAGTCTGTGAAATAAGTTTTCAAAACTTCTCAGACAATTGCTGACTGCTATTTTGAGCAGAAGTAAAGCATGATAGACATCATGCACTCACTTGCTCTGAAGGCCGCCCCCTGGTGGAAGTCCAGGAATCACTGTGGAAGCCAGTACTGTCAGAACTGACAGCAGATCAGGCTCATCACCTCTTGCGCTCAGCTCCTCAAATATCTCTGTCAAAGAAACATGCGTGCCAATGATTTAATTCATCAAGCAGGCCGCTAGAGGACCATTTACTTTAACCAATACATGACTCTGATTGCCATCTGTGACGTAAGTCATGTAAATCTTAAAAGCAACATCAGAAGAAGCCAGATTTAATCAGATGGTTTACCAGCTACTCTGGACTCTAGAAAGTCCTCCAGCTCAGCCTCCTGGTGCAGTGCTTCAGGTGACAGCTGGGGTGCGCCAGGGAAACAGACTAGAATGATGCTGATGTTATCAAGGCTCCCCTGTTAGAAATACATAAAAAGACATTCAGAAAGGAAAAGTAAAAAATTTAAATAAATAATAATAACGTATCTGCTATACGATTTATTCGCTACACTCAGCAGTATAATTTTCCTCTGGTGTTTCTTTAGATAGGGCAGGCAATAGCGTGATGCTATCAGCCACTCTTGAGGCTTTTGTTCTAAGGACAACTACCTCACGTTGTTGATTAACTAGATTGGAGTTGGTGACGCTAATGCAGACCGTATCCTTCATTTCTAAGGGATGTTGTTGGTTTTCTATCCCTACATAGCACAATGCTAGGCAGAATGCTGTAATCTGCTCGCACCATGGCTAAAAGTAGATTATTCCGTTACAGTTTAGTGGCTGAATACAGCCTCACTTTGAGATGGTGGACGAAAGTGCAGTCATGACAGAGCAGGGATCTGGCTTACTGTGGAGAGAAAGATGTTGACATTTTCAGGTCAGCACATATCCTTTTCTGCAGCCTAAAGGCCATTCTGTATTTCTCTTACGTAATGTAACAGCCTGGCTGAAGTCAGCTCTGGATGCCATAGCCAAGAGAGTCCATATTTAAGATGTAGTTCATATTTTAAATTCTAAAGTGCATTTTAAATAAATGGAAAATGTATTATATAGTATAAATACAGTTTATTTAGAAAATATCTATTAGAACGACATGAGTGTGATCTATCAGAAAAATGATTTCAAAAGGAGCATGTGACACTGAAGCCTGGAGTACTGTGTGCTGAAAATTTAGCTTTGCATTACAGGAATAAATTACATTTTAAAATATATTCAAATAGAAAATATAGTTATTTCAAATTGCAATATTTCACAAGATTACTGTTTTTACTGTATTTTTGATCAAATAAATACAGCCTTATTAATAAATATTTAAAAATCATGTTTCCAAACATTTGACAAGTCCTATATATATATATATATATATATATATAGACCAAAAATATGATGCCATATAAGCAACTAAACCGTATCAAAAATATATTTTAAATCAAAAAACAAATACATTTAAACAAATTTATATTTTCACCTACATTTCTGCAGCTTAAAGTTTAAAGTGAAATGATATAACATGAATAAAGCAGTGAAGCTGGCATTAGATTTTCTGTAAGTTGCTATCTAGCGACAGTAGTAAACGGGGCTTTCACTCATGCTGGAACTCAAAGATATTCAGAAATGTCCCAAACCTGCAATGGGAAAAGAGACTTGCAGGGGTTTGAGGAGAAATCGAACATGGATTTGGACCAAGCAATCGAAAACAGAGTGAAAACAGCCTAGAAATCTTCTGTTCGTACTAACCTTATAGAGGCAAAGGTCAATGACCTGGGAGCAGACCTCTCTCAGGTCTGTGCAGACTCGAAGTCGGCTGTGTATGAAGGCACAGAGCTCTTCATTAGTGACAGTGTCCCACACACCATCGCAGGCCAGAACCAAAAACTCATCTGCTGGCGAGCGCTCCACAGCAGACACTTCCGGCTCTGGCGATACCATCTGTTCTGTGACTGGCCGCCACTCAGCTGTCTTGTAACTGAAGTCCCCCAACGCCCGGGAGACTGCCAGCGAGCCATTCACGCGCTGCACAGTCACCGATCCTCCAGCATTCTCTATCCTCTCTCTCTCGCCAGGGCTGAAGGGCTTGTGGTCTTCCGTCGAGAAGGCCATCCGCCCCGCACGGCACAAGACCGCCCGAGAGTCCCCGCAGTTCACAAAGTAGATGTGGTGTGGAGTGATAGCGGTGGCAACGACAGTTGTCCCTCCACGTTCCCAACCCTCACGGCAGGCCATGGCATGAAGGTGTTTGTCCATGAGAAAGAAGCCCTCCTTGATGCCCTCAGTGACCCTTTGTACATCCTCACCTGCTCGGATTTTACCTGAGAAGGAACAGCTTATATCACTAAATAACCAACACAATCTTGTCCACCGTTAACTGTGCAAGGTCTTTTGGTGACTTCAAACAGATCACGTTTGCATGTTCGCAAAGACAAATCTAAAGGCTTCATTAGAGAAGATTGCAAGGACCAACCATTATGCAACATCTAATTGCTTTATGTTGTACACCACAATTAACTCGTCAGATCAAGGCTTAATTAAGTCATAATGTTGCTGAGGCTTTGGACAGTAGGTTTTTTACAGTAGGTCTGCAACTTAATCCAGTCCGATGAGATCCTCTTGGATCTATTCTAAAGAGATCAATAAGATTTCCCACATGATGTAATTTCTGTTTCTCATCAAAAGCTACTCAGTCATGAGGTTTGCCATGCTCTCAAATGACTATCGATGTAGAAATATAGTATAAGCCAAAAAGATACAAGAAGTCCTACTGTTTGTAGGACAGCTTGTTGCTCACCTGTGCCCAGAATGTGGTCCAGCAGGTTTTGGGAGCAGTGTTGGGCCACCACACTCCCTGCATGCCCATCATACACAGCGAAGAACCCCCAGTGGGCCAGTTCCCCTCCCAGCTGAGGGAAGCAGTTGTGGAAATCTTCCATGTGGGCCCTCCAACCCTGCATGCTGGCCAGGGCGTAGGTAAGTCCCCAGGAGGCACAGCCCTCTTGCATGTGCTTGTCCAGAACCGGTCGGTCCAAGTAGGGGCTAGGGATGACCCCTTCTTCTTCTCCTCCCTCTTCGCCTTCAGACAGCTCCCCTGCACCTCCCCCTCGCCCCCCTTTAAAAAAGGAGGTGACCCTTTTCTCTGTCTCCTTCACCAGTTGCCTTACAAAAGCAGGCATTTCCACGCTTCCTTTCCTTGATGTCCTCATGGTGTCTTTTTTTCTGCACTCGTTTGAATCTGTTCAAGGCCTCCACCCTGTGCTGTAGCTTGCTGGCTTTGGTTCGACTGTGTGCCGCCTTGCTGCTCAGGGCCTTCACAGCATTATCTCCCAAGAGGCTGATTCTGCACCTTGAAGCATCCTCGAATGATCCAATGTAGAATGGCTGATTTTCCCTTCTGTTACTCTACCATTGCTAGACATATCACTGAGATCTAATCTATCTGCAGTCATAGTGGCTCTTTCCAATTTGATCCACTTTTGTTGCCTTCCTCCTCTATATGTCAGTGATATTCCCTCTCTCTAAGCTTTCTCTCTGTCTGAGCCTGTTATTTTCCTGTCATCTCTCTGATTGGCTGAGCTATTTCTATCCACCAATCATCTCACAGTGTCCTCCCTTTTTTTGTACACACCGACATGCAATCCTTTCGCAGAGTGGCTCTCTCTCTTTCACATGTTCAGTGCCTCTCTTTCTCTCCCTCCCTCCCTCCCTCAGTTTCTCCTCTTAAACTCCCTCTGTTAATCATCTCTGCTGAACATTTGATAATTTTGCATTACCTAACATACACAGATTGATGTGCATAACAGATTTTCACAGTAGCCCAGTAAGAGAGAATGGCAGAGAGAGAGAAGGCACATAGTACACCCTTCGTAATGTTATGTGAGGCAGATTCAGTGATTCATATTAAAGAACATGGTTTGCCTTAAGCAGAATTTATGAATGGCATATTCAAATATGAATTTGGGAGACTCTAACAAAAGGTTGATTCAGACAGATTAGTGGATTATGTAAATAAAAAATGCCTTCATAAACATTCTTACATAACAGGCTAATTTTTTTGTGGGTCCATGGAATGACGCACACAAAAATGTCTCATGAATAAATGTGTTTGATGGCATTGCATCAGATGCTTGTAGTACTGACTCATCTGCTGGGCCAAGCAATCTGGGAAAAAAAAAACATAAAATGAAGAAATAATTTGATTACAATATTAAAATAATTAATTTAGATTAAAATTAAGTTTAGATTTTTAAAAGCATTTTCATTTTTTTCTAGTCTTTTCATCAATACATCATTTTATATGATCATGTTTATATTATCTGTATTATTAATATAATCATAAATCATAAAATAATTATCGTAAATTACCATACATTATTATTCTACTTACTATCATTGTTGTTATAAATTAAACAATTCAGTTAATTTATTTGTCAAATATCTTCATAAATTATGCATTCCTTGTATTCCTATCATTATGGGGACATTCCATAGGCGTAATGGTTTTTATACTGTACAAACTGTATTTTATACCATATATATTCACCATAACTCTACATCTAAACCTGACTCGTATTACTATGCTTGTGTACATTTGGTCCCCATAACATATTGAATACCAGTACACACACACAGACACACCTTCAACTGGGTGCTAAAGGCCAGCGCTTTTCACAGAATTTGAGAAGATAAAGCACAGCACTCTTTGAGGAACATCTGAGTAATTTGCTTGTATCTAAGGTTAGCCATCTCCCTCGATATGAAGACTTGACTACACACAGACATATGCTGGCGTCTCAGGTTCCTTAGGCTCTGAACGGCCCACGAGGAAGGATAGCTGTGTGTGTTTTTATAAAGATGGGGTGTCCAACTGGTTGAGATATTATTAGGTCAGGCCAACCCCTTCCGCTGACAATGCTAGAATGGCCAAAAAAAGCCCAGAGGGTACGTGGAGTGCCCCAGGAGAGGGGGTTTGGTGTGGAAGCAGCAGAAATGGCCAGCAAAGGTGAGAGTCTTCTGCTGCGCTGGGATCGAGCTCTCCTGAGCTATATTGTGTAAAACAAATAACATGTTTCTACACAGCCGTAACCCTAAAGGTGTAACTGACATGCTGTTTACTATACCTCTTGGAGTAGATGGAGTAGTAGCAGAAGTCTTGTCAGTGTTTGCATGCGAGTCGATTAGTTCACTAATTCATTCAACAATGAAACAAGTGCAATTGTGGTATGCTATGAAAACAACAACACTCTTGTTTGTGTGATATTGCTTATAAAGTTACAGAACCCCAGTCTGCCCTTTTTGCAAGCTGGTTTGAATGGATGAGCACAAAATAATGTTCTTTTTAGCAACATTATATGACCCCTTTAAAAAAAAAAAACTTTAAAAAAAATGCATATAGCCAAAAATTCTTGGCTATATGCATTGGTCAAAATGTGTTTAGAAACTATAGATGTGTGTTAGTTAACATCAGGAATTGCTCCTTCCCCTCAACCAGAACTGCACTTATTATCAGATCTCATTAATTTATGCACATAGATTCACACCATAGGCTACTTCAGACTTAACACTTATTTTTTGTTTTCATTTTTGACAGGCAAGGATCGACAAGATTGTCAAAGCCATCAAAAAACTTGTGGAAAAAGTCACAGAAATGTAAGTGTTCATCATTCTGACATGAGCCGTAATGAAAACAATTCAAAGTGAGCCAGGAAAAATTAAGCAAGCCTACATCTTAATGGAATAGTTCACCCAAAAATGAAAAATTGCTGAAGATTTACTCACATTTACTCACTCTCATTCCATGCAAGGTGTAGATTAATCTGTTTCCTCATCCCCAGAAAAGATTTGGAGAAATTTAGCATTACATGACTTGCTCATCAATGGATCCTCTGCAGTGAATGGGTGCCGTCAGAATGAGATTTCAAACAGCTGATAAAACATTACAATAATCCACAAGTAATCCACATGACTCCAGTCCAGCAATGAATGTCTTGCGAAGTGAAAAGCTGCATGTTTGTAATAAACAAATCCAAGGTGTTTTAACTTTAAACTGTTTCTTTGGATCAAAATAATCCATAATCCACAATAGCACTTGCTCCAGTGAAAAAGTCCACTATCAAAATCCACTGACATATATTTCTAGAACTTTTTTGGACTGTTTTCACTAGTAAACAGTGTTTGATCTGTGCTTATTTCTCTCTTGATTAAGAAGACATTACTTTCACTGGAGAAAGCAATATTATAAATAGAGGACAAATTTTTAAGCAACAATTTGAAGCTAAAAACATCATAATGGTGTATTTGTTTATTACAAACACACAGCTTTTCACTTCACAAGATGCTAATTGGAAATGGACTGGAGTCAAATTTTACTTGGACTCTCATTCTGACGGCACCCATTCACTGCAGAGGATCTACTGGTGAGCAAGTGGTGTAATGGTAAATTTCTCCAAATCTGTTCCGATGAAGAAACAAACTCATCTACATCTTGGATGGCCAGAATGATGAAAATTACAGGCCTCTCTCATCTTTTTAAGTTGGAGAACTTGCACAATTGGTGGCTGACTAAATACTTTTTTGCCCCACTGTATATAAAGATGGAATATGATGAACTGACCATTATTTTCAATAAATTTTCATTTGCAGCCAAATAACCTTAGTGGCATGTTTAAATAAGCAGATTTCATAACATAGACTCCCCCGAACTTTCTCATATCATCAAACCGTTGAGAAGAGTACCAGGAACGGCCATTTCAAAACATTCAGTTACATACTGTTTGCAGATGACAATCTAATGCTGAACAGAAACAAATATAGGATGTCTTTTGATGTTCAATTACTTCCATGCCAGAATGGTGATAAACAAAATCTGGTAATTGTCTTCACAGGCTTTTAAGAGAGTATCTGTACCATCCGTAAAATGACATTGCTTCAAAATGTATGGAGGGGACTGTTTAGAAAGCATGAAAAGAACATCTCGCACACTATGGGAAGACTGCAGGAACACTCAGGGATGTAAAGAAAAAAAATACTCCACTGACAAGAACAGTGGCACTCGGAGGAACATTTTGTATTTATTGCTGTTTTAAATAACCTATTTCAGATTGACTTTGGCTTTAAACTGCCCCGTGTGTATGTGTCATTGTTTGTTAGATGGCAGTAGTGGGAAATCTCTAAATGAGGATATGAAGAAAAATTATATTTTAGAAGTTGTTCACTTTATTAAGCTATTTAAATTTATTAAATACCGTCTGGTTGGATCATTGCTGAATTGTCTATCTGCTGACTCCATTCCAGCATGACTATAAGGATTTTTTTTTTTTTGACTCTAGTTGAAGTTCAGATTTGTACTGTCACAATAGAGATGCATTTCATTTTTAGCAACATTTTTTTGCTTGAATTATTATAGGCTATTATATATATATAAAGATGGAATATGATGAACTGACTATTATTTTCAATAAATTTTCATTTGCAGCCAAATAACCTTAGTGGCATGTTTAAATAAGCAGATTTCATAACATAGACTCCCCCGAACTTTCTCATATCATCAAACCTTCCTTCTCTTTGAGTCAGTTTTTCATTTTTATTTTATTTTATTTATTTATTTTATTTTTTACTCTTCTTCTACTGATCCTGAATGCATAAATACATGTTTGGCTTAGATATGTGATATATGTGACCCTGGACCACAAAACCAGTCATAAGGGTCGTTTTTTTTTATTTCTTTTTTAAAAAGATCATCTGAAAAGCTGAATAAATAAGCTTTCCATTGATGTATGGTTTGTTAGGATAGGACAATATCTGGCCGAGATACATATCTGTATCTGTAAAAATCTGTAAAAATCAAAATACTGAGAAAATCGCCTTTAAAGTTGTCCAAATGAAGTTCTTAGCAATGCATTTAACTAATCAAAAATTCAGTTTTGATATATATTTACGGTAGGAAATTTACAAAATATCTTCATGGAACATGATCTTTACTTAATATCCTAATGATTTTTGGCATAAAAGAAAAATCGATAATTTTGACCCATACAATGTTTTTTTGGCTATTGCTAAAAAGATACCCAAGAGACTTGAGACTGGTTTTGTGGTCCAGGGTCACATATAATAAATGAAACAATAGCGAAAACACAAAACTAAAGTTTGTAATTTATCATAATTTATTGACAAGCAAGGTTTACACACAATCTAGTGCATAATGTGAGTTAAGTTTTAAAAATGCCCCCAAAAATGTAAATTTCCATTCTTCACAAACATGACGACATTTTTTCACAAAGCCCCTGATCATAAAGCAAAAAAAAATAAAAAGGATAACAAGCTATAATTTTGTCCCTGATGACATCCTCACAGATGACTCTGCCAACACATTGGGATTGTGGTTGTATAAAAGCGGCAGAGGGAAATACTCTCTCGAGTACGTCAGCATGAATGAGCTCTTCTTCTCATATTTGCCCAGAAACATCTGCAATGAAACGAAATAAACAAAAAATAACTCAAAATGTGACA